TGGCCAGAAGGAAAGAGCTGATGAGGGAGCTCTCATCGGAGGCTGTGGGAGAAAAAATGCCTCCCAAATAGCAACTCGGGTCACCCGGGTCCCTCCCTAGTGCCCTGCCGTTTTGGAGGCTCTGGAGAGGGGCAAAGCGCTTCCCAGGCTGCTTCTCCTCGGGCAAAGCCCTCCACCCTAGATATCCCTTTGCATTTTGCGTCTTCCTGCCTGATTTGCTCCCCTCGTCTTGCTCGCCCCCTTCCCCTCTGCTTCCCAGTGCCAGCTTCGGGCAGGGTGGCCCAGGCACATGAGCTGGGCCCCAAGCAGCCCCCCAGCCCCCGTGGGGACTGCTGGTCTGGTGACTCCTTCCCATGGGCCTCGGGGTGAGTGCTGCGCCCCGCCAATGGGGAAAGGACAAGGGATTCCCCCTGCAACCCACCCCACTGGATTTTTTTTTTCCTATCCTTTTCATTTGCTAAAATTCTTTTAGGGAAAGGCAAGGTCTATTTTTTTCCGCTGGAAGGGGGTTGTTGGGAGGGAGGTATTTATTGTCGCAAATCTGGATAGAATAGCGTTCCTCACCACTTATGTGTCGAGCAGGTTGTTTGCTCAGTGAGCAAGAGTCCCCCTTTTCGTTTTCCTCTGGGGAAGATTTTCCTAGTGCAGAAGGGAAAAAGGTGAGAGAGAGAAAATGCAGAAGGGCCGACCTCCACTTCACAGCCTGCTCTTGCAGTTTTGGGGGACAAAATAGACCGACAATGAGGAAGGCTAATACAGGAGATCAAAAGTAGGCACGCTGTCTGCTTTTATGGTATTGTATCTCCTGCAACACAGCCCCTGTCTAAATATACGCCAGCCTCAATTGTATGGTTTATGACACCAAGCACTTTCAATGACTTGCTTATAAACTGCGTTATGCTTGCTCTTCTCTCTCTGTCTCTCCTTCAGGCTCTTTTTGGTTATAACTTTGGCTGAGCTTCCCCTTTGCAGGACCTCTGAACTGCACTGTGTGGCTTCACATCCCTGTTTGCTTTTGTATCGGAGAGCAAGAAAAAGTGCTGTGGGCTTGCCTACTTGTCGAGCATCTGCCCAGCCGAGCTGTCCCTCTCTGCTCTTGCCTGAGAGTGACCCATGAATTCTGCATTGCAGTCTGTCCCAGAAAGGGGCTCAGTATTTGCAGGGAGGGGAGGGAGGGGAAGCTTGGCATTGGCCAGCTTCAGTTCTTTTAGAGGGAGTGAAGAATAATGAAAAAGAAAGGTCTCTCTCTCTCTCCTCCTGTCCAAAAACAAGATCTTAAGTAATATCCTGCACCCAAATGGTTGCAAGTCTGCAGCTAGGCACAGCTGGGGGAAATCTGGGCCCTGCATGGACAGGAGTGTCCCGCAGAGGTGGAAGGATCAACAGCCATGCCATGGCATGCTGTGCTGTCGCTTGAGAGGGAGATCAAGACACAAAAAAGGGGAAACTGAAGCTCTCTGTGAAAAGCAGCATCTGTAAAACAAAAAGCATTTTTTTGCCTGAATGTTGAGTCCCATTCCCTATTGTTATTTTTGTCTTCATCTCTGGGCTGAGCCCCTGTGCATGTTTCTTGGCTCTCAGTTGCTCCACGTGCTTGGATCTTTCAGCCCATTAGGTGTCTAATTCAATAGTCTTTTGAGGAGATCTGCTATGAAATCCTCTGCTATTGCTGATACGGTCTCAGGCAGTTACTTTGTTCCAGTCCTCTCCTGTAACCCACTCACCTATGCACCCAAACTTCCTCTTCTCCACTAATATCATGACCTACATGCAAAAGGCTTATTTTCTGATGCCGTTTCCATAGTAATGTAGCATGGGAAATGCAGGCAAACCAGTAATAATGAAGCAGATTCCTCTTCTGTGAAATCAAGACCTCTTTGAAAGTTGAGTTCAGTTTAAGGGAGAGTAGGAATCCACGGAGAGTTGGATTTACAGCCGAAATTTCTGTGCCCTCTAGTGCCACAGGCAGGCAGAGGGAGACCATCACTGGATGCTGAGGATGCGGGACTTGATAAGAAATTACAGAGGAGGGACAAATGGCATGAGAGAGGTTCATCCCACGCAGTGTCTTTTTCCTGCCAGCTCTTCCCTCTTTTAAATCCCAAGCTGCCAAAAGGATAGGTGGGATTCATCTGATGCTAGTTTAGTCACTCAGAGGCTACTGCCACAGGTCCTGCAGGGCAAGTTAAATTGCAGAGGAATAGGTAGGAAGAAATTGGAGCAGGGGAGTCTGAAATGGCTGTATTTAGCCATTTATTTGCAAATTTTGGATGCCTCTGACTTTGGGCTTGCAACAACTTGCAGCTAGTTCTCAGAGATTTGAAGGCACAGAAGAGGATTATTCACTTGTGAAAATGTTGCCCTGACCTTTTATGGGCTTCTTGGGTGGGTGGATGGATGCGTAATACTAATCAGGCTAAGGGAAGTTGAAGGGGCTTAGATCCAGCTCGTATGAATGACAGGGATATCTTTTTCACAAATGCTTGTAGTCTTAAAAGCTCAAATTGGATGGTAGCATTTCAAGTCCTGTTAAATCCGAGCCTGGATTCCCGTCTCTAAGAAGCACACTGCACAGAGGATCACGCGCTGAGGACTGCAAAAGAAAGCGATAACTAAGTGAGGCAATTAACTCCCCCCTTTCCCCTCAACACACATACGTGCACACCTTTTTCACAGGTCCCATATTTTGGTAAAGGCAACTTTCAGCTTTGCCTGGGTCTCCACACCATCTCTCAAGATGGAGCTGCCCAAAAGATACAGAAAGTCATCTACCTGCTTGTTCTCATCCCACCAGCTGAACACCGACTGTGTGTGCATTGGGATTGCCCTGCTTTGCCCTGCGTACCAGGCAGAGTGGGAACTGCTCAGTGACTTATGCCACTATCCTCCTACGTTCCTCTAACACAAGTGGGCAGAAATATGAGGTGAGGCCATCCCTGGATTTGGATTAAAAGACTGAATCCCTTTCCCATGGGCCCTGAGCTTGTTTCCACATAGATATACTTTAGGCTGTGGAACTGCCTGTCATTTTGGCGTGTCTGTCCTACCTTTAAAGCTGTGTCATTGACAACATTCAACACTGCCTTTGCCCTGTGGAAAGAGATAAGTATCAGCAGATATTTCAAAGAGACATCTTCATATACCTTGATTTTAAGTCCCAAGAAGATAGGACAGGGTAAACTGAGTTTCCTCTCATTTCCACCAAGCACTTTCTAGAGAATGCTTGCCAATGAAACTTAGATACACAAAGAAATTTCAGTAGTCCATATGCTTCATATATTCCTTTTTTAGAATATGTTAAGGATAAAATAAAACAGAATATCATTTACAGCTGGCTGCTTTGCTAAGAACCTTCCCTCTGTTTTTCTTATGACAAGATGCTCGTCTGATTCCTGGCTATCCAGCGTCTCTTTTGACTCTGTGGGCTAGATTCTGATCTTAATTACATTCTTGCAAATCAGGGGTGACTCCGCTGCCTTTAATTACTTCTGATTTATTCTAGCGCAATTTAGCTCAGAATTTGACTTTCATAGAAACATTGTAAGAGTCTTAATTAGAATATTCCAGTGTTTTGACAACTGTTTATGGAATGATTCTGAGTGGTCAATTTCTGCTGAAAGGAAAGTGCAATGTGATATTGGACATTGTGAATAATATAGAGGACCTCTGAGAATGGTGTCAATAAAGATTTTTTAAGAGGGGCCGCAACACAAAAGGTAAGAAGTGTTGTAAGCCAGCATCTCTCAGGCCTCTTAGAAAAGAGCCTCAAAGGCCTCAACCTCTCGGAAGAGCATTGAGTAAACTGTGGGTAGGTATGCTTTTTTGTTTGTTTGTTTGTCTGTTTTGAGAGCGAGATGGAA